GAGACAAAGCCAGCACAAACATTTAAAAGCTCACAAGACAATTTTCTTTGCCACATAACATGGACTTGGCTACCCGACGATCAATACAAGAACATCTCTGGGCACTGAAAGACAGCAAAATGCCGACAATGGTCGTAAAAGAGTGTTGTGAGTCTGTTCCACAATAGGTAGAGCAGTTTCATTTCTTCTCTGGTCACAAAGAACTTCTCACCCAGTACTGCTAGCCATTGTGAAGCCAACCAACCGATACTAACTTCCGGTGCTACATGCAATATAATGGAATAGGCGGTGCCTTTGATGCACCCACGTAGGATACTATAAATTACATTACAATACATTCGCCACACATTTTGTTACAAATTTGATGTTATGTTGCTAGTGTGAATCTTTACCATAAAGTCGCTTACCGTATGGGCACAAATTAATATTTTCAGTGTTAGATTTTAACGATTTTGTGAAAATATTAAATTCACTGTGTTAAAGTAATTGCCCCAGTTTTTATTAAAGCCATAAGAAGCAGTCATATAAAGAATGTCACAGATTTATTTTTTTACGTATTAAGGCTGCCTGTGATAATAGTGAAAATTAATTTCCCACAAAATGTTGTACCACTAGTTTAGCATTTTGGATTTCAGTGGTTGGTCTAGGATTAAAATATGGTGTGAGTACTGTATAGCTAAAAACTAAAAACTTCCTCAAATGAGAGAGATGACAAAATTTCATGAATATAATCCTTTTGTGAGTGGCCCAACTTCTCTACATGCATGCTTTGATGACCTGACCTCTAGTGTGACTGAAACTTTTGTGTTTCTGTTTAAAAATTAATAAATGTTCATTTTGTGTATAACACATTATAATGAGTATTAACATTATTATTATATTAGAATGCTACAGTACACAACATGATATGACACTTGACTGTGTAGTGTTAGTGTCTTTATTACCCTGTCTTCTTTTTATAGCTTGAATACACTCCTCTCCTATGGGCAGCTGTTGAGGGTCACACACAGGTAGTGACACTGCTCCTTGAAAAAGGAGCTGATGTCATTGCCTCTGATAATGTAAGTACAATCATTAATTATACTCCAATAGTGATTGTACATGTATAGCTTAATGTACTGTACCGTATCACTTTATGGAAAGCATTTTTATTAAAATAAATATTTTATATCACAAATTTTGGATACATTATAACAAAAAATTTGTGTCCCAGAATTTTTAAAAAGATTTTTGAAAAATTGGCAAAAATGAAAAATAAATTAAATATAGCACAAAATGACCAAAATTCAAAAAGTAGTAAATTTTAATTTTAGAATACAGTATAGCAAAAAAATTTTCTAGCCTAAAGTTTTGGAAAATTCATTATCAATTACAATCTAAAAATTAAAGAAAAATTTTGAAATTTTAGATTTTATTGTTTAGTGGCGATTCTCTAAAATAAACGGTAAGACATGTAGAAAAGTGAAATTTTTGATTTCATTTTTTGTTGGTGGTTCTTAAAAATTTTGAGCCGCAAGAATAATTATGATTTTACATGTTAAATTGGTAAAACTTACGTGTACTTGTATAATAGTATAATAATGTCAGATAGACTTACAAGAGGCCAGTGGGCATTGACATTTTCTTTGGTATGGAGGACATACTTAGAATGTAGTTATACTGTGCATGAATATATAATGTGATCGACCCACTCAAATTGATGTAATTATATCACTTACCTACTGGGGCAGTATCTGATTTACAGACACTTCCCACTAGGACGCTATGGTCCCTTGTGGTCAGTGTCTGTACTGACATCAATTTAAATCTATAATTACTACATTGATCAAGCATCAAAATTTAATGACCTTTAAAATTTTTATCCCGGTCATAAAAGCTTCTCAATCTACACGTATAGTAACTGAGATTATGGCTACAACCAAGAACATTTTATTGATACTGCAACAGTGTAAATATACATGTACATGTACATGTAGACTAGTAGTATTGTACATGTAATTATTTATATCAGTAAAATGTATACTTGTACACTAAATGTACCTCCACTGTCTCTAACATACTCAATACTATTGAGACAGACCAACAATTAAAGTTGGCTTTTAGTTTGATTGTGATAACATTGTACTGTCATGTTTATCAATGTTTACCTTGTATAGGTGGGTAATACTGCTCTTGATTATGCTGAAGCAAGAGGTCATTCTGAAGTTGCTAGCCTACTGAGAGTACACTCAGGTAATGTATTTATTAGTTTATTGAACTGATGTTATTATACTGTATGTAGTACTGTATTGTTAGTAAATTTTATGAAACAGCTTGAGTCATTAGCTACTGCTTCCTCCCTTACCATGTGTAAAATTAATTTAAATAATAAAGATGTGTCACATGATTATCTGTTGTCCATTCCTTCCCTATTGATATATGATGTAAGATGTAGAGGGTGTGGCATGATGGTCAGTACTTGCTCCTTCATAGTAATTGTATGTGATGTCACATGTTAGTATCATTGTTTACCCAATGACTGTAAAACATTAGTAGTGTCATTTTAGTTGCTTATGATGTTTGATCCTCTCCTTTGTTAGAAACCTAACCTTTTGTATTGTTGATACACGTACATTCACTATTAGCTTCTTGTATGAATTAAATTGTGTATCAGTTATGTAGCAATAGCTTATAGTGTATAATGTGTATATTAATGCATGGTAGTTGTATCCCACTATTAGGTTACTATTGTTCCTCTTATGTACTCTTATGCATGTACAGTACAGTCCCTCACAACTGATGTGAGCCACACTGATGTACACAGTACACTTGGTATGTGTACTGGTATGTACTTGTATGTATTGGTAAACTTTGTACATGTTTCATTTCTCAAAAACATTTATATGTACAAAACTATGTCATACCCATTACATGTACAAGCATGTGTCTTATTGGTAGGTTGTTGCTGATAATAATGACACATTTAACTTAATTTCTATAGAATCAGTTAAGTACATGTATTGTGAGACTATTCCTGGTCTACATGTACATGTACGTATGATAAACTGGAGAATAAAAAGTGATAGATCCTAAGGAGGTGTTATGTCTGGAGCGTAGAATTAGCAAGGAGAGTACACTGAATAAATAAAATGATTAACACAAACGGTTGGCAATCACTCCAAACACAAACCAAATAAAAGAAGAGAAGAAACAGAGCCAGAAGGGACCAAGAACAGAACAAAGGACAAAAGAACAAGAACTCAGCAAAAACGTGGAAGGGTAGAATATATACATGTGTATGCACCTACACAAATTAGAATGTTCTAGAACAGTAAGAAATAGCACATGGTATAAGTAATTACATTTACATAAAATACATTATTAATAAAGAAATCATATCTGTTAGCTTTGAGTTCACCACATACCTCCCCTTTTAAGTATAACGAGAGGGCGAATAACGATCAATGGGAGGTCTTATACGAGTCGAGTGACGAGTCTGAGGGGGAGAGTCCTCTTGTGGAGTGG